AATAAATACAGGAGAGGAGGCTCATGAGCATGTGCAGAGTGCCAGGGGAGCCCGCAAGGCATGCCCGGGCCGGGTCTTACCCAAGGGGCCTCTGGCAAGAAGGGCAGAACGAACCCTCGGGCAGGCCTGCCCACGTCAGGGTTGCCAGCTCTGGCGGGTGGGCGCCTGGCCCTCGGCCCGCCTCGCCAAGTGCCCCCCCTTCTCTCTCGCTGGACGTTCAGGACCCCCTGAAGAGAAGCGCCGCGGGGGGTCGGACGGCAGACACTCCCCCGGGTGCCTCTGACGGCCTTGGAGGGTCTCCAGGAGGGGGTCGGGAAACTCTGCGCACGGGGAAGCCTTGACCAATTTCGGGGAACCTTAAGGAACAACTCTGGGGTGAACCCTTGGGATGCCCGGGGGTTTCAGGGCGCGTGCGTTCAGCAGCAACACGGGAGGTGAGCCGGAATACAGTCTTCTTTTGAGAATCCCGCCTTTCATCAACTCCCATCCCGTAAAGAGGAGGCTCCCTTTAAGGAAGACCTGGCCGTCTACTCTAGAGGAAGCCAAAACCTGTTGCCGCTGGCTGCAGGATGTGGCTTGATGGGGCTCCCTCTCGGTACAATAATTAATAATAGAGGCCTGTCAAGTCCATTCCCCTTTACGGCAGCCCTGCCAGGGTTTGCAAGATGTCAGATGTGCCGAAGAGGTTTCCCAGCCCCTCTGCTTTGTATGCCATTCAGGGGCCACCATGCAACTTGCTCAAAGCGACACAGGGAGCAGGACGCGGAAGTAGCCGATCAGCCAGAGACACTCCCAGAAGGCAGCCTAGAGCCTGGGTATCAAGGCCTCCAACTCACTGAGCAAACGCCAGCTGCCCAATAAGTTGCAAAACGTTGATTCTTCATGGTGCAAAATTTGGTTCATACTGCTATGGAATTGATATTTATGTTTGCTTTAATTTAAGATCAGAAAATATAAACCTCTGGTTCTGCCTTATTTGCTCGCTCATTTAAGAACAAATTCATTAATAAAAGGCCATAGCATGTGTACATGACCAGCCTACAAAATAAGTGGCTGTGACACAGCCCTGCAACTCACAGAAATAATGTAACAGTATATATAAAGCCTCACAAGGCCATGAAAGGCAGTCCCTCTCCTGGTTCTAGACAGGATTCTTTCCATAGTTGTGCATGACATGTGTTTAAATTCAGATCCACAAGTGCCACGTGCAGAGACATGGACCATCTAAGCAAGTTGCATGGAGAGCCCTATTGACTCAGGTGACTTCGCCATTTGACTCCCATTCAGCCTGTGCTGGGAACGTCTTGGAAACTGTGGCGCCGTTGGTGTTTCCTGCAATCCAGGCGGAAGCCCCCTCTCCACCTAAGCCCCTTCCCTGGTGGATGCACCACTCATGGCGGAGATATTGTGGCCGCAGGTTGCCACGGCCGATAAGACGAGAAGCCGCTTGGCGGTGAATCTGTAGCCTGATGCAGATCTGGGCAATAATGTTGTATATATTATGGATTGAAAATGACACCACCCCAGCTGTCAAGGAAACCAAACCACTAACCCCCAGCCACCGTTATCTGAAACTGTGTGTGTGTTTTATGTGCTGCTGAGTCGATTTTGACTCAGTGTGAGCTTTGTAGGATGTGCGAAGTATGTGAAATGTCACATACCCCCCCACCCCACCCCACGGCCACTGCTTCCGCAGCCGAGCAGAGATTTGAACGTTGGCCTCCTGAGCCCTAGAACAAAACTCTATTCAGGGCACCTCACTTGCTCTCCATCTATATGGGGTTGTCGTGTTAGGTCTCTGTCATGGGTTGGATAGCACCTGTCTTTCACTGTGACCCAGGGATGGCCCTCCAGATGGGACTCCAACTCCCAGCAGGCCCAATCAGCATGGCTCATGATCAGTGATGAAGGAAGTTGTATTCCATCCACCTCTGGAGGCCTTCAGGGTCTCCCCCTCTGGCCACTCCATTTTTGTGGCTTCATTCATCGTCTCGCTCCTTCTCTTCTGCTCTCTCTGCTGCTTTCCCTTTCCCCCCCTTCTCTTTCTACCCTGAACACATCTGGCTTGTCTGTATTTAGAAGTTGGGCAGGGTCAGGCCTGGTTGGTTCCTGGATGGGAGACGACCAGGGGGGACTAGGGGGTGCCAAGGAGGGTGAGAAAAGAATTTCTGCCTGGAGGCTTGGACCGCTGTCTCTGCCACTCAGAGTGGACAACATTGAGATAGTTGTTGTGGGTTTTTCGGGCTCTTTGGCTGTGTTCTGAAGGTTGTTCTTCCTAACGTTTTGCCAGTCTCTGTGGCCATGGGCCTCTTCAGAGGACAGCACTTCTTTCATTCATTCATTCATGAGCACAGCGTTTTGTCCTCTGAAGATGCCGGCCACAGAGACTGGCGAAACGTTAGGAAGAACGACCTTCAGAACACGGCCAAAGAGCCCGAGAAAACCCACAACAACCATCAGATCCCAGCCGTGAAAGCCTTCGAGAATACAACATTGAGACACATGAAGAAATACCTGACCTGGTGGTAGAAGTCCCAGCCGTGAAAGCCTTCGAGACTACAACATTGAGATACATGAAGAAATATCTGTCCAGGTAGCTTTCCTGGACTCTGTAGCCTTTCTCTTGAGCTCCTCTTTCTCCAGCAGCCAACTCGCCCGCCCGCAGCCTTCCTCCTCTTCCTCTTCCTCCTCCCTCCCCCTCCCCAAGCCCTGTCCCTTGGCTGAGTCTGGCCTGAATCTCTTCTCCCCCACAACAGCCTTGGGAATGGGATGTGGAGTCGCAGCACCTGGCCTCCTTCCAGCCCGCGCCCCTCTTTGACCAAGCGGCCGAGAGAGAGATCTACCCGACGGCCGAGATCTCCCTCTGGACGGTGGTGGCCGCCATCCAGGCGGTGGAGAGGAAGGTCGACTCCTACGCCACCCGGCTGCTGAACCTGGAGGGCAGGACGGCCACCGCCGAGAAGAAGATCTTTGAGTGCGAGAAGACGGAGCTGGAGTTCAGCAACCACCTGGCGGCCCTGGGGACCCTGATCCAGGAGTACGGGCTGCTCCAGCGGAGGCTGGAGAACATGGAGAACCTGCTCAAGAACCGGAACTTCTGGATCCTCCGTCTCCCTCCGGGCCCCAAGGGGGAAGCTCCCAAGGTAAAAGGACAGTGGAGGGAAGAAGAGAGAGGAGGGTCTCCTGGCCTGGAGGTTGTTGCTGATCCACGGTGTAGAGCGGGGGTGGGGGGAACAAGGCCCTTCCTGATGCTGGTGGACTGAAATCCCCAGCCGCTCTCACCAGGGTAACCAAGGGGGAAGGTGGCTGGGGGTCTTTGGCCAATCACCTCTGGAGCACCTGTCTGCCTCTGTGGCCGACAGCGCTGTCTCCGGCCGGCTGCCGTTTGGACTCAGGAGCCCCCAGGCAAGCCCCTTGGCCTAAGTAGGCGTAGGATTTAAAGTGGGGTGGCCCCCTGAATGCCACGGAACGGTCTGCAGCATCGGAGACCAGCTTGGTTTGTTGAGCGTGACGTTCTGCTGCAGGCGGTTAAAGGCGTTCAGCTGAACGTCCTGCAGAGTTTCCGTGATCTACGCGGCCAGGTTCCCTGGCGCAAGAGTCCTGTGGGGGCAGTCAGGTGAAACCTCCCCCCCCCTTGCAGAACCTCCCACCCTGCTTTGTGTTCTGTGCCCCACGGTCTCTGATGCTGCTGGCAGGGCGTGGCGCTGGCAGGGTGGGCCTGGGGCACAGAGCTGGCCTGTGGGGGCAGATGTCCCCTCGCCTCCTTCCAGGGCCACCAAGACAAGTTGCCAGAAGACTGCTCTCTTCCACCAATAGCTGAACCCATGAAACAGCACCTTTAGTTGACGGTGAATATCGGGGAGCGGAGGGGGAGGTCCCACCGTTTCCTGGGGTGTTCCCAAGTAGCTAAAACAAAACTCGGTTCGGGCAGAATATCTCCAGAACGCTTAACCCTAAGGAAGTTCCCCCAGGGGGGGCAGTGCTGGTGGTGGAGGACGTGCTTCAGGGGTTCTGAGCTGTGCCTCTGATTTTAGGTCCCCGTGACTTTCAATGACAACGCGGTGAATTTCTCTACTCAAGAGTGGGCCAACCTGGAGGAGTGGCAGAAGGAACTTTACAAAAACATCACAAAAGGACACTTCGAACCCTTGATCTCCCTGGGTAAGAGGCTGGCTTTTCGTGATAAAAACAGACAAAAACAATACGAGTTCAAATAATTTTTTAAAAATTATTACTGAAATAGAAAAGAATCTAATATCATAAAAAAATAGACCACCAATCCATTGAACACAACTTTCTAAGCAGGAATCATGTGCCAGAGGCCACCTCAGTAAAAAGATCTTTGCCTGTCGGTGGAAGGGTAGCAAAGGGGGACGGGGTGGCCTGGCCTCTTATGGGGAGGGGGTTCCTGAGTCTGGGAGCAGTCATGGAGAAAGCCCATGAGAAGCAGCCCCCAAATTAGAAGAGAAAACAGAAAAGAAAGAACAGCTGGATGTTGCAAGCCAGGCAGCGTTGGAGTGGGTGGGAAAGGGATATAGAGAAAGGCTGAAAAGAAAGGAGAAGTGAACGGAGCAAAGAGGTGAGGGGGAAGCCGATCTGGAAGTGAAGTAGGATCTTATTTAGAAAAACAGAGGGGGGGGGGAAGGAGGTGGGATGTGGAGCAGGCCCTCATTCTCACCCGATACTTCTGAGCCATGAGCTGCTCTGGTAACGTTCAGGACCCTCACCCCCCCTTTCTGATCTGTTCCCCCAAACAGACGCTGCCATTTCCAGAGGGGAGGTTCCGCCCCAGACGGAGCCAGCAGAACTTCCCCGCGTCGCGGATCAGGAGTTTGTGGGAGAAAAGGGCTTCCCTCCAGAACCTAGGACAGGTAAGTGGCCCTGAGCGACTTGGAGGGCCATCGCCAGGCTACCTGTCGGCTGCATCGGTTGGTCTTCCAGCCCCTCCGCCCTCTTGCGTCAGGTCCTCCGCCAGGGCATCCTCGTCTGGCTGTGAAGCCCGGGGAGGGTGGACGCCTGGCGGAGGGCTCCCTTGCCATCTCCCTGCTCCTTCTCTTTCCCAGAAACCGAGGACTTGGCGTGCAAGGAGGACCTCTTGTCCTGGATCAAGCGAGAAGAGCCCCCAGGCAAAGCCAAGTGGGAGCTGGAGCGGGAGATCCCCACGGCTGCCGGCTATGGTGAGTGGGCCTTGGAGGGCCGGAGGGATCCCCTTTGACAGAGGTTCCCTTCCTTGGTCTGTGTCTCTCACGATGCGCTCCTAGCTGTTCCTAAATTGGAGCCGTTGCCAGGGGCGAAGACAGGATGAGGCCCTGCAGGACCCTCAAGCCGGAAGTCCCCTTTGCTGAGCGCTGGGTTTCCCCGGTGACCAGCTGGTCCCAGGAAAGTGGCCAGCCGCTCGGGAGGCTCACGGGCCTCTTGGCTGGTGCTCCCCCGCAGCTGCTGCACAGAGGCAGGAGTGGGGCGGAGAGAGCCACTTGATGGCGGTAGCCACCGATAGCCCCTTCCTTGCTCCCTTAGTTTGCCCCATCTCTTGAAAGCCACCCAGATGGGCCGCGGCTGTGTACCCAGTGGGGGGAGGATCCTGTCCTTCAGCCATGTGCTGGGTAAGGAGCCGTTGCTTTTCTCCGACTTGGTGAAACAGCTTCCTGAGCAAAGCTGGTTCAAGTCCTGCCTTCCAAGACCAAAATACTTTCGGAGGTGTTGGCCTCGAACCGCCGTCATCAGAAGCGCATGAGTTTCAAAGAAGCAGAAGAGCAGGGCAGACAGCCGACTCTCCCGCCTCACCTCTAATTTGGCCAGTTAAAGTCCAGCCAGTTCAGGAAAGCCGATTCCTGAGTTACGACGCCCCCAAGGAAGGGACAGCGTCCTGCCCCAGGGCTTCCGGCATGGTTGAGCCAGAGCATGTGGCTTCCGGGACAACGACTCCTATAGTTCCTCAACCAGCACGGCCTCTCTGGAAAAGTAACTTTTCCAAGCTCTGGAATAACTGTTGCTGGCATCTGGGCAGCAGGGGTCTCTTGGATGGGCAGCAGTATCCTTTCCTAGCTTCCCCCTGAAGGCCAGTTATGCAAATGGCCAGAGGCTGTTAATTGTGCATTTTGAGTGCGGTGGCATTGCCTTTTGAAAACCAAAAAACAAACAAATTAAAAACAGGTGTACTGCCAGCTAAATAGGAGGATGGCTCTCTTTTGAGAGAGAATATACTTTCTCCAGAGGTAGAACTTGCAGGGGATAATGGTGGTTGTAGTCCAGCATTCACCCGGAGAGCAGCAAATTAGAGAAGGGCTCCCACTCCCTCCCTGCAGACTCCACCTGGGCCAAGGTGCCCATGAGAAAAGCTGCCGATCTCTAGAAAAAGCATTCTCAAGACATTTGCTATCACGAGCAGACTCCCCCTCGGCAGAGCCGTTCTCTTCCTGACGGGGAAAAGATGCTCCCCCTGAAATCGGAAATGCTGCCATTACAAAATAATAAACAACGGGCCCCTCCTCCCAAATCAGCTGATAATTCGTTTGGGACACCTTTTAAGTGAACTGATTAGCGAGATGCTGGAGACCAAATCGAGCACCCGAGGGAGAGGCCACCGTATCTCTTGTTGGCAGGTGAGCCCACTCACCCACCCATCCTGCAAGTTTTATTTCCTTTCCAAACCCGTACATTGAGGGCCAGGAGTGGGGCTGAGATTCATGGCCATAGAAATACCCCCTGATTACTGAATTTGCATTCTGAGCTGCCTCGCTGGCCTTCTAAGCAAAGAAGCAGATGTTTTGTGTCCTGTTCCTGATGTGAAAGAGTCTTTTCCTCTATCGCTGCTGGCTGAGACTTTGCGGGTGGCGGGATTAGGGGCCAGTCTTTGGATGGCGTCTTGGCGGTTCCTTCCAGTTGTAACTGTTGTGGGTTTTTGACAGAGAACATACTTTCCCCAGGGGTAGAATTTGCAGGGGATCAGGGCAGTTGTAACTGTTGTGGGTTCCCTTTTCTGCTCCAACCCAGATGATGGTGCGATGATTAAAAGTGAGGCGCAGAACCTGCGAGGAAGCCAGAAGCCTGCCTTGCCCGATAAGGGGATGCTGCCGGCTGGATTACACGCGGGCGGAGACACCTTCCAGGTCCCTAAGCCGGAAGCCAGTTGCGAGAGGCTAGGCTGCCCCCAGGGACTGCAACCCGCCTATCCCGTGCCAAGGCCAGAGGAGCCACCCCAGAACGAGCGGGGCTGCCAGCAACTCGGGTCCACCCGGCCAGAGGACTCTTTCCGCTGCGTCAAGTGCCAGGAAGGGTTTGCCTGTGAGCAGCAGTTCTCTCTGCATCAGAGGATCCACACAGGAGAGGACATCGTGTACGGGCGGGGGATTGCGCCGGCCGCAGACCCTGGTGCCCAGCCCAACCCAGGTCCTTACTCGTGCGTAGACTACAAGAGCGACTTTAGCGATCCGCCCTTCTCCCAAGCGGCGGGGCGGCCCTACGCCTGCTCCCTCTGCCCCAAGAGTTTCCGGCTCAAAACCAGCTTGCTGATCCACCAGAAAACCCACACGATGGGGAAAAGCGACAGTGCCTTTGTTTGCCCCGAGTGTGGCTGTGGCTTCAGCCACCAGGGGCAGCTCACGCGGCACCAGGCCGTCCACGCCGACCGGCCCCACCAGTGCGCCGAGTGCCACAAGGCCTTCAACCGCAAGTCCAGCCTGATGGTCCACCAGAAGACGCACCGGGAGCGGCCCCGGCCCTTCCAATGCCCGCAGTGCAGCAAGACCTTTATCCGCAAGCAGCACCTGGACGACCACACCCGGACCCACACGGGGGAGAAGCCCTACCAGTGCCCTGAGTGCGAGAAGCGCTTTGCCGAAAAGTCCAAGCTGACCAACCACTACCGGATCCACACTGGGGAGCGGCCCTATCGCTGCGGGCAGTGCGACAAGCGCTTCGTGCGAGCGCACCACCTGGTGAAGCACCAGAGCAGCGTCCACCAGGCGGGGGCCAAGCTCTACTCATGCCAGGAGTGCGGGCAGAGCTTCGCCCACGCCCAGGCCTTCCTCAGCCACCAAGCCAGCCACGCCAACGGGGAGAAGCGCCACCGCTGCTCCGAGTGCCTCAAGACCTTCGCCCGCCGGAAGTACTTGCTGGAGCACCAGCGCATGCACACGGGGGAGAACCCTTATTCGTGCCCCCACTGCGGCAAGCGCTTCCGCTACAAGCAGTCCCTCAAGCACCACCTGCGCATGCACGGGGAGCCACCGCCACCGCCACAGCAGCAGCCCACGCCAGGCCCTGTGCTGCCACCCGCCGTCAGCAGCCCCGCAGAAAAAAACTCGCTCTTCCCCGCCAGCCTTGGCAGTGGAACCTGAGGAGGAGGAGGAGGAGGGCCCGGGGAAGAGCGGCGCTCCTTGGCGAGCCACGCAGGTGGGCTGTGACACTGGGAGTGGCTGGACGCAGAGCACGACTTGAGCACGGACGCCCCGGGAGTGGCTGGATGCCGATGGAGACGCTCCCAGGACCAGCTGTCAAGAGGTCTTTTGGGGTCAGGTGAGGGGCAGCTTGAGGGAGATTCTCCCAAGACTGAACATGGAAGTGGGCCACGGTCTTTTGGGTGGGTGGGGGGTTAGTCCACAGCCCTAGGTTTTCTGGCTACCACAGTAAACCATCCTGTTAAAAATAGAATTTTGGCTTCAAAACTCAAGCTGCTCTTTCCAGCAAAGCTCAGAACAGTCCTCAGCAGATGGGAGAAGAGTCCTCTTTGGGGCACTCCGTACCGTGTGGACAGAGGGGTCCAACCTTGGACTAAGGAGCCTTAATTCAACCTGACAGTGCCCCAGAACGCCCTCCCCCTGCAGTTTGCAAACGCAGGAGGCTGATCGATGGACTGTTCCACACAGGAGAAGGCTTCTTTTCCCTGGCTGGCTGTAAGCTGGGGAGCTCACCTTGGAGAGGTCACTCTCACCTGTTGAGCAGGTGCACTGTGAGGATGAAATGAACGGAGGATGATGAAGCACTTTGCACACACCCAGTGCTACAGAACGTTTTTTTTAAAGGGCCACAAGAAGAGACTGTCTAGTTCCATGTTGGGAGAAACGGGGGGTGGGGGGAGAACAGAGCCCAGAATCTGAAAGGCACTCTGATGGGAAGGCACCTGGTCGCTTCTTACCTGCTGGGCTCAAGCCTCCCACAGGGAAGGGAGCAGTTCCACGTTGGGCAGATTAGCCTGGCGACTGTTTCCGAACTGCCGGCCTGCCAAACACTCTACGGATTCTCCTGCAAGTGCATTAGACTTTCGAACCTCCAGGAAGGGGCCACTGTGGTAGCTCTCCTTGGCTTGGACATCCCCCCCCCACCCTTGTTCTTCCTGGACCATGGCCAGGTGCCACCACATTCCAGAGGATGTCCTGCTTGGCTTCTCCCGTTTTCCCACCTGGGTCATGCTGTGCCAAAAAGCAGCCATCCGACTGGCCTTTCCCTGGAGGAGGCGGACTTGTGTTTTCCTCTTGCTGCAGGTGGGCTTCTGTGCAGTACCTGAACAGGCTGAGCTATTTTGGGGTCTTTGATTTCTGCTCTTGCAGATGAGACGAGAGCAGCCAGCTTTTAAAAAAGCCTTTGACCTCTCCCTCCGAGGCTGGTTACATGACATTGGGTCTTGGGGTTTTGAGGCTCTCCTTTAGCATGGCAATTCTGCCATGGACAAGAGTCTGCTCCGTGTCATGCACATTTCACCAGGAAGAGGTAGTACAGCAGGATCCCCCTATCCGCTGATTCACTTACCTGCTGCCTGAAAATGCTAAATATAAAAAACCCAGAAATACGTATTTCTATGTATTTCCAGGGTGTATTTACAGAACTGACTGCTAGAGGGAGCCAGAGGCCATGCAATGTATAGTTTTTCAGCCTCTGCCAGGGTGTGTGTGTGTGTGTGTAGGAACCCCACAGATGCCACCCCCCTGTTTATTCCAGGTCCCTTCAGTCTGACCCTAGAGTCTTTCTCCCAGACGCCTGGTGCCTGGCAGGATTTGTAAAGGAGCAAAGAAGAAACCAAAGAGCAAAGGAAGCTGCTGTTGGAGATTTTAAAAAAGGGCCAGGCTGCAGTTTTCAAGGGACTTCAATGCCACGGCCAGCCTGTAAGAGCCGGCCCACCTTCCCTGGGGGGCGCTGCCTTCGCCACCCAGCCCGCAAGTGATCAAAGAAGCATCCGTGGGGCCTGGGACAGGCTGGGAACTGGCCTTCTGCCTTTTTAGTGTTTTTCAAGCAAAAACAAAAAGAAGGCATTAATAAAAGATTTTCTATCACTCCTTAACATTGACGGATCTTCTTGTTTGAAGGTGCAATAGCGGGTTGGATCCAGCACTAACACACAGCTTCGGGGGCAGGGTTGTTACCCATCACCCCGTGGCACAGGCAGGAGGGAAAGGTAAGATGAATCTTGATTGCCTGCATGAGGTTTCTTACCAGTGGCAGATGATGGGAGTTGTTCTCTAGAACACACAAAAGGGTGACAGACCATCATCCTTACAGCTAAACATGACTGTATAAAGCAGACCAAAACAGTCAAAACTTGCCTGACCTTTTATCTACGATTTTCAGGCAGCCCGGCCAGGCTCCTGTGACTTTAGGTAGGCTTGAGCAAGTCAAACAGCAAATTGCCACTAATTAAGGAGTTGTCCTTGGGTATGCAATGAGGAATGCAAGCGCCAGCTCCTTAATTAATGATACTGCACCTGGTCCGTTTTCCCGTAGCCCCGTGAGAAACACTGCACCTTGGCGTGTGTGCCTTGTTGAATGGCTCCAGAACTTCATCCCCTAAAAACTGCTGCTGTTCTCACTCTGTCCAAAGCCAATCTGGAACATCAAAGGGACTGTATTGGAAATAATGACTTCTCATCTCTTTCCATAGTGCAGAGGAATTAATTACGTTCCTATATGGCAGCCCTGTAATTAAGGTTCTGTTAAGTATGAGTGTAACTAACAACTTTCCCCATGGCCTTTCGTGTTAGAGGGCAAGGAGCCTCAGAACGGGGATGGCAGAGCAGCCTGTGGGTCGGGCCACTGTCTTGTGCTCTCAATGGGTGTTGAGGCAGATGGGATGGGAACAAAGAGAGTGACGGGAAGGGGAACTCTGGAGGATTTGAGTCTAGAAGGATGCCAGAATTGGGGGTTGCACTGATCTTGCCCCATGGCGCTCACCCGTCAGTGGTAGGGTGTTCCCTCTGTGAATCCACTTTTCCTTACAGGAACTGAAAGATGGTCCTACAAAGAAGGGACAGGATCTGTTCTCGATTATCCCAGAGTGCAGGGCAGGCATCAATGGGCTCAAGTGACAGGAAGCCCGATTTAGGCTGAATATCAGGAAAAAACTTCCTATCTCTTAGAGCAGTACGATGATGGAACGAAGTATCTCTAGAAGTGGTGAGCGCTCCAACGCTGGAGGCCTTCAAGAGAAAACTGGACTGCCCTCTGTCAGATCTGCTTTGACTTGGATTCCTGCCTGGAGCAGGGGGTTGGACTGGATGGCCTTAGAGACCCCTTCCAACTCCATGATTCTATGAAGCTGTGACTTTTTGCACCCTGCATGCCAGCTAGAACCCAAGAGGCGCAATTAAACCCCCATGCAATTTTTTTTTTAAAGCAAATCTTTTTTGCCAGACAACAGCTCCTGATTCGTAGACACAAAGATTTCCTGGCTCCAGCAGCATCTTTCAGAAGGATCTGGAAGATTCTCCCCTGGTCCCTCAACCCAGTCCCCAAACCCACCAGATCCTGGGTAATTTTTAAAGAGGAAGTAGATCGGGACCTGATCCATCTGTGGAAGGCATCCTTTGACATTTAAAGACCTTTCTTAGTCCCCCACAGGAGAATGTTGTCCTTGCACCCTCATTATGGATAAAAGGACATGTTCAGGAAGGGCTTTCCATTTACCTGCTTGATTTGCGAGGTGTGGCAATACAAAGGGGTTCTGTTTAATAGCCTGTGACCCAGTTTAAATTTCAAAAGGGAGAGGACCACACTGATACCCGCTGCGGGATTCTGCTTCCAAACACAGCAGCTGAAGTCCTGGCAGGATTTTGCTTATGCCCAAGAGGGGTCACTTAAACAGCCACAGCTCTTAATAGCTAACAGATAAGGCACCTTGTGCGCAATCAGGAGCATGACCGAGAGAGTGCCTGGCATGCACCGGGCACCTCCTCAGTTCACCACAACAGTTTATGTTATTCCTACTGCATTTCCATTTGAAAAAAAATCAACAGCAGGATTTTGGTCGATGGAAGTGCAAGCAAAACGAGAGCACTGAGATGAGAAAAACTGCACCAGCTGGAAAAGTCGGACATTTGCTGTCCGACAAGATTCTCCTCCAGCCTTTTGGAAGATGTGGCCCCAACACAGTGTTGTCTTGCTGTGCACCTGCTGTGAAAATGGGTGCTTTCTGCTGAATTGATCTCACAAGTTCAGGACCTGAAGTAAACAGCTCTGGATCTGGAAAAAAAAAAACAGCCAATGGGGATTGCAGCCCATTTGCCCCCACCAACAGCAGAACAGGGACAGCCATAACCACCCATATCTGTAGGATAGGAGCATGCCTGACTGGGGCAGGGCAAAGCACCTGCCCCCCACACATACACAATGCACGAAGGGTCCAGGGTGATGATAGCAACTTGAGAAGGATGAACTGTAACACAGAAGGCAACAAGGCGGATCCTAGCAAAACGGATCAATGGCAAAAAAGAGCCCCAGAGAGCTGGGCTGCCCAGTTTGGTCTGGAAAGCCTTCTGTCTCAGGAGTGGGGTGCGGCTGGAAGGGTGCTGTGACGCCCCTCTAGCCCACCCCCACCCCCATGAATGGCTGCAGCCGTTTCTCTTTTTAAAAAAGGATGCCGTCTTCTTTGGGTGAAAAAAACACACAGTTTTCAGGTGTTCAGATTCAAAAACAAAAGTCAGCTTTCCATACATTATAAAAACACACACACACAAACACAGACACATTTGAGAGGGGGTGCAGTCTTCACTGGGTCCTGGGATGATGAAGGCCCCCCCCAACAGACCTGTCAAAACGTCTGTTACAATCTGGGTGTGCATTGCCCGATTTATTTCCAAAAGAAACTGAATCGCAGCCCAAACCCCTGCTCCTTGGTCCGTGCTGCGCCACACAGGTCTTGCCACAAAATTTCCAGGGCTCAGAAACCGGCTCTGCCCACCACGGCTTGGGAGAGTCTCAGGGTGGCCCTCCACCCCTTTCTCACCCCACCTCCTCTACCTTCACCGAAGGCTCCTGCCTGCCCGCTTGCGGCCCTTGGCACAGGTGGGACTGCTGGCCCAGCTGGAGGCTCTGCGGGCCGTGGAAACCCTTCTCGCCCACGAGGCACGGAAACGGCCACTCCCCGGCATGGCTACGGAGGGGCTCCTTCTGGGCAAAGTGCTCCGGACCCTCGCCGCCACTGGGCAGGCACTCGCTCAAGTGGCTCATCTGGTGCCGGACCAGCCGGGAGCGGCAGATGAAGCCCTTGGAGCCGTCCGGGCACGGGTGCAGACTCTCCCGGGAGTGGCCGCGCAGGTGTTTCAGGAAGCAGGCCTTCTGGCGGAAGCTCTTGCCGCACCGTGTGCAGGAGTAGGCGTGCTCCCCGGCGTGAGTGCTCTGGTGTGCTGTCAGGTTGGTGAGGCGCGTGAAACTCTTGTGACACCGGGCGCACTGGTAGGGCTTCTCACCGGTGTGGGTCCGCCGGTGCTCCACCAGGGTGGAGAGCCGGGTGAAGCGCTTCTCGCACTCGGCGCAAGCATAGGGCTTCTCCCCCGTGTGCGTCCGCTGGTGCTCCAGCAGGGTGGAGAGCCGGGTGAAGCGCTTGAGGCACGTCGCACACACGTAGGGCTTCTCCCCCGTGTGGGTGCGGTAGTGTGTGGTCAGCGAGGACTGGTGAACAAAAGCCTTCCCACACGTGTGGCAGGCGTGGGGCCTCTGGCCCGTGTGGGCGCACGGGTGCTGGGCCAAGCGCTCCTTCTGGCTGAAGCAGCGGCCACAGTCGGCACAAAGGTAAGGCCCCTCAGGAGAGTCCTGCCTGGGAGGACAGGCCCACCCTCTGCCCTCCGGCAAGCCCTTCTCCGGCGCCCCAGAGGCCCTCCTCTCCGGGGACCCCAAAGTCTGGGCCGGCCCTGCTTGGCAAAAGCTCTCTTCGGACCGCTCCGCTGAAGTCCAGGGGGGATCCAGCTCCCTGGAGGGCCTCGCCCATGGGTTGTCCGGCTGGCTGCCAGCTGAAATCACAAAGAGTCCCCATAAAAGCCCACCTCTGTAGACATTAGTGGTGAAAACAAAAGACAAAAAGACAAAACCATGGGGGGTGCCCTTAAAGACTAACGTTTATCCTTTTCTCAATGTGAGCTTCCGTGGACACGTCCACTTCATCAGACACACGGCGAGCCCCTTCTACCGCCTACATCTGCAGACTCTGCCCTTCTGGCTCAAGACCAGGCAGGCCTTCTGTCTTATGATGTTTAATGATGACCTGTTACTTTCACATCCTTTATTTGACCTTGTAAGCTCAAGGTGGCACAGATGGCTCTCCTCTTCCCCTCTTTATTGTCACAACAAACCTGTGAGGTAGGTCAGAGTGAGACAGGGTGGCCGACCCAAGGGGACTCAGTGAGTTATAATCTAGCATGCTTAACCACGACACCCCATTGCTTCTCAGTGCAATTTCAGCACCAACCACAGTATCCTGGAAATGTCTTTTAAAAGGACTAAGCAAATGTCCAACCCTTTTGACTGTGAAAAATGGCCCTGAAAACAGAGACACTGCCTGATGGCATCTGCTTCACACTTTCCAGCAGCCAAAGAAAGGGGTTTTCTGAGTCTGCAGAGTTTATTCAATTCATGCAGCAAGTTCCCTTTTCATGTAGATGCCACCTTTCTCCCAATTTGGGGACCAAAGCAGCTCACAAGTTATTAAAAAACAAATGAACTAAAACGAATTGGGCCCAGGAACCGCCCAGCAGCCAGTGTTGGAACAAGGAAGTCTGGGGGTGGGGGGTCCCTGCCACTGGCCCCGGTCAGCCGCCTGGCTGCAGCATTTTGAACCAGCTGAAGTTTTCGAAAGGCAGCCCCACCAACAGCACATTACAGCAATCCAAGCAGGATCTAACTAAGGCATGGGTCGCTGCTGTGAAGCTGAATGGATGTCTATGTTTTATGCTGCATACCACCCAGAGTCCTCCTGGGATTTTATACCTGAGCGAGTAAAACCACATACAAGGCCACTGCAAGAAACGCCAGCCGATGAGCAAAGTGCCCATAGTGCGCCTGGCTTCGATTTGCCACCATCACGTACATCCCTTTCACTTCCTCAGGAGTGAAACACCACAGAAAGGAAGTCATGTCAGTCCAAAGAGGGAAACCTCTTGATTTCTTACCTTTAAATCAGGGCTTTCCACCCGTGGGTCCCCAGAGGATGCTTTGGGACAGCAGCTCCCAGAAACCCTGACCAGCACCGCTAAGGGTGAACGCTTCTGGGAGTTATAGTCTGAGAACATCTGGGTGACCCGAGGCCGGGCACCAGTGCTTGGTTAGCCTGTCTCTGGGCAGAGGGGCTTCTTGGGGAGACAGCCCCTCCCTCACCCTGGCCTTCCTGGGACGGGGCTAGGACCCCTCTGGAGTGGGCCGACGCCCTCCTGCGCACATTTAAAGAAATCAGGTTGTTACCCTCTTAGGACCGACCCCTTTGGCTGAAAGGCTGCCACGGAAGCCTGCAGGCAATCCCCCACTATTATGGCCGAGGCCACATCCTCCGTGCTTCACCTTTCAGCCCCTTCCTTATGCATGTTCTAAAGGCCTTTCTCTCTGAAAGGCCCCGGGCTGGACCAACGGCTGGCTTGGGTCCCAATTAGATCCCAATATGGCTTTTTGCTCCTCAGTGTCACCTTCCTGCTTCCCACCTTCAAATTAAAAGACGGGAGGGGGAGGGTTCCATCATCCAAATGTCCCTTGAGCAAATCACCCACCTGTCCCTCCATCCGCATCCCTTCCCCTCTCCTTTCCTTCTTCTTCCTCCTCCTCTTCAACCCAGAGGGTCTCTTGCTTAATCTGGGAGGCCATGCCACAGGTGGAGACAGGAGCGCCTGAAAAGAAAGAAAGGGGGCGGGGGGGCGGATTTAGCAGGCCCTCATTTCCCTGGAACCAATCACTCCTTTTGTGAAAACAGGAAGCAAGATTTCTGGAACACCCGAAGATGACAAGCGTGCATGTGACAGAGACGGGAATGGAATAGGCTCAGAAGAGGGCAAACGGGATGGCAAAACTCAAGCCCTATGAGGAATGGTGGTGGAAGGCCCTGGATAGGTTCAGCCTGGAGGAGAGCCCTGGGGAGCAAAGGGGGGCTGACAGAGCCACCGCTGAATGCCCCTCAAGGGCTGCCAAGGGCCCGGAACGGTGTCAGTTACTTGCCTTCATCAACGAGGGTGGGGGACAAAGGGGCTCTGGCACCAGAGACCGAGAATCGGGAGCCTTCCACCTCCTAAGGGTCTATCGTCCCTCACCGCGGCTTCTATTGGTCAGGGCAGAAGACCACCGAATTCCACCACCATCCCGTGCCCCCTGCGCTCACCCAGACCCCAAAGACAAAGCTCAGCTTCTCCCCAGGGCCCCCTGTCCTTGCACTTCGTCCTCACCCATGCTGGGATCTGCAGGGCCCTCCCTTCCTTCCAGGTCAGGCTGACCCTTGTTGTTGTTGTCGTCGTCCTCGTGGTCCCAGGGATCCTCCCCTCCTTCGATACGGGAGAGAACGTCTGGCTTGGAGAGGGCGTAGTCTGTCCGCCAGAAGGCAAGCAAGAAAATACCAGAAAACCAAGTGGGCAGGCATGTTTCCAGAAGCAGAAAGAGCCACACAGTCGTCTGCTGCCCAAGAAGGTGAGAAGCAGAGTCTGCCTGCATCGATTTGGGACAAATGCTCCCCCAAAGAAGAAGAAGAGGAAGAAGAAGAAGATGATGATGATGAAGAAAAAGAAGATAAAGAAAAAGATGAAGAAGAAGATGAAGAAGACAAAGAATAAGAGGAAGAGGAGGAAGAGGAAGATGATGAAGAAGAGAATGAAGAATAAGAAGGGGGAGGGGGAGACGGAGGAGAGCAGGAGCCCCCCTGCCTTGTTCATTCAGCCTCTTTCAGTCCACAATCCTCTTCCATTTCTTGATGGGATTTCTGTCTCATCCATCAATAGCTATAAGGCATGATAATTACAGTGGAACTGATGTGACATAATTCAGCTTCAAAACATAATTAAAACACCACACTATAAAACACCAATATGAAAGCAGTCCGTAGAAACATGGGGAAAAAAACACAGAGTGACACAAAAGCAAACAAACAGAGGCTTGTAGGCACTTAAAGAGAGGAGAAGAGATTCATGAAGGCATGAATGGCCAGGCGTGTTGCCAGGATGAATCCTCTGGAAAAGGACAACTTAATAACTTCATTGACGTGAATGGCACACTATAAAACACCAATATGAAAGCAGTCCGTAGAAACATGGGGAAAAAAACACAGAGTGACACAAAAGCAAACAAACAGAGGCTTGTAGGCACTTAAAGAGAGGAGAAGAGATTCATGAAGGCATGAATGGCCAGGCGTGTTGCCAGGATGAATCCTCTGGAAAAGGACAACTTAATAACTTCATTGACGTGAATGGCCCACATCCATCCATCCATCCAACCATCCATCCATCCAC